CCGTCGCAAGCAGGTGTACTCATATCAACTACAGTTGTACTTCGCCTCCAAGACGTTCTTTTAGGAGACGAAGGCTATGAGTTTTTTCTTACGAGCAGGCTCCTGCAGGACTGCTTAGAGAACCTCTTTTCTGTGGTGCGGCTTATGAAGCCGGTTCCCAATGCCTACGATCTCAAGTGCGCTCTGAGACTGGTGAGCGTAAGCCAATTTTTGCATACACCGAGGACGACCAGCTACGAGCTTGATGACAGGGAGTACCTGGTGGACCTGCTATCCCAGGGGAAGGAAGCCTGCGTCGAGAAGGAAGCTCAAGAAATCGATGATTCAGAGATTTTGTTCATCGAAGGATTGTCGTCCACAGAATGCAGTATTCTCTTTTACCTAGGAGGATTTATTTGAAGGGAATTTTGACATCTGTGAAGTGCGCAAAATGCAAAGATGCTCTCCTTGGAACTGCCAACGACGAGCATGCTTCGCTGACAGCACTGAAAGAGTACGTTTCAGATGGAGGCAACCTCATCTACCCCAGCAAGGGAGTTATGAAAGCCTTGATAGACTATGAGGAGCATTTTGCTGCCATAAACTCTTGGTGCACGGACAAAGTAGTCACGATGAAGTCGCCGCTTCGTTCACTCACCGCATACCTAAACAAGGTGCACCGCCGCAGCTTGTGTGTATGCGCGGAGCACGAGGACAGTATATACCGACTGCTCACAGAGAGGTACGCAAGCATAAGGCTGCGCATTCACCTTCGGCAGGTTCCAGTCGGGAGTTGCAATGGACATGCAAGCAAAACATGTGCCGGCGTCAACCTCTCATGAGAAATGGACACGCCAAGATAAGCTGTATGCTTAAAAGGTTTCGGCTCACGTGGGCACGCTTTTGACTCTTGCATTTTTTTATTTTTAAACATTTCATTTCGTACTGCATTTGGTTTGTCTTGTATCTGACTTTGATTTTCACTAGTGGGACAACGCAGCATTAAGGCGCACAAATGAATGGCCTGTTCACTGAAATCGTGGGTGTCGTTTCATAAAGGTACACTGGTAAAGCATGTTACTCTCGGGTATGCTGCCTGCACAGTGCATGAAATGGTGAGGCAGGGGAAGGTGCTACCGAATGTCAGATAATGTGTGTGCGTGTGCGTGTGTGTGTGTGTGTGTGTGTGTGTTATATATACACACACACGCAAGTATATAAAGTACAGCGATTCCTGCCTTTGCTATTCGGCTGATTCACAAAGACCCAAAGACTCATTCCTTTCAGCAAGCGTAGTAATAAAAGTTCATGCGCCCCTCCGTCTTAACGACGACAACGGTTTAACGCGAATCTTTCTGGTGTGGGAGTTCGTGGCTCATTTCATTCAGTCTATGTCAGCCCCTGGCGCATTGTACAAGCACAGGCCACCAGTTTGTATGACGTGCGTTGTTCCATTTAACAATTAGGCAACAACAGCACTAAGAGGTGTCCAAGTTGCACCAAAAAAAAAAAAGCTCGCCAACGAGTACTTCTTTCCTACAATACCGCGAGCACCGCAAGCGGTAATGCGCTTCGCATGCTGCCCCACTACGGCAGGAGCCGTAATGGCGGCCGTCGTAGCAGACGACGCGGCTGTCCTCACCCTCAGCGGAGCGCGCGGGCATCAAGGCACCCTACTGACACCGATATCAGCGTCGCGTCCGTGGCTTATTCGGTAGAGCGTCGCGCTGCGGCCCGCCAAGTCCTCTTTCTTTTAAAGATAGAGAGAAGACTGCGGACGCCGCCGACGGCGGTGGATGCTTTGGGGTCGCTTATAAAGTGTATTCACACGTAAAAAACACACTGCCAAACACTTACATATAGAAGTTGCACCTCAAATATGCGTAATACTTGCTTTTCGATTGACAATGTTCACACGTATGAAGGCAGCCAACAGATCAAGATGGGTGGGCTTTGAGCACGGGCTTCAACTTTTGCCGGGTTGCTGATAGGTTGGACAGGCACCACAAGACAGACGAACAAAAATTTTGCGTTGACCTATTCCAATAAAGACTATCGTTTTCGTTTTAAAATGTGTGTTTCAAAAACTTAAATCTGTATCGCCCCCGCCTCCACATTTGCGAAAAATTCCTGGCCCCGGTCCTTGTCACAAGTGAAAAATGAGTTGTCCAACAATGAATGTCGCTCCTGGCAACACTTTCATAAGAAAATTGGTCATCAAGGCGAAATTGCTTGCCAATGACTTCTGATCACTCAAACCTCCACATGCCCATTAACATCAACGCCGTTTAGAAATTCAATAAAGCAATTACAAGCAGTGGTTATTAGTTTGGTCTATTACTCACATTCTGACTAAGCGCCATCATTTTCACTGTGTTCGTTCTTTTTTGAAGAAACATCATTTTCTGATAAAGTAATGTTACCGGTGCGTTCTTGAAAGGAAACTGAAGTATTTTCGTTGTTACGAGATAAAAGTCGTCCTGTAAGAAAATGAGCGGTTTTCATCAAAGCAACTGTTTTTCTTCATCTGTAAGCAAAACGAAATGACCGTCGACTGTATGAACTTAGTAAATACTTTAAAACGAAACATCTTGCCATGCAAGCAAAGTCAGACCAATGCAAAGCTCAATGTTGTGTTACCACAAGAGAAACACAATTCTTTTGCGGTTCTTTTGCGAGTGCATGTGTTTTGCTTGGACAGGTGAAAAAGCTAGCGATTGCTTGAGTGCAGAAACCAAACATTTAGCTTAAAAGGTTAAAGCTAGGTAAGTTGAACTTCCCCTAATTAAGTTAGTGAAATTCATGCTGAAGTTTCGTGTTTACACAAAATACAAGTCATAAATAGCATGATCTCATGCTTTGTTTCAATCTTATTGTATTTTTGTCTGAGACAGACAACGGCCTGTGACCCCATCATGAAGGTCAATGAAGAATATAGAGGTACCGCTAATTTTAGCCTACAAAGAAAATATAAGCATGAAAGTCTCAATAAAATACCACATGAAAAGATGAAGCATCATTCTTCCATTATTGTTTACACATATCAGGACCATATTTTTACTCCCTATAGTGCTTTATTGTACTTTTGGTTGATTGTATGCTTGTTTGGCTTTCTTTGCATTTTGTTTCCTTTTATCCCTTTAACACAGGTAAACCATTCGCTCACACTATGGTCAATTATTTGCAAGGCACAGAGCAGCTACTATTTCCGTCTTTCATTTTTCACTTTCATAGGTTTTTTCAATATTTTTAATCATTTTCAAGCCATTACCGAAAGTGTGCATTACTCATTAACAATTTGTTCATACCCATGCACTCCCCTCAGTTCTAACAAATAAGTCAAACTTTGAATCTCCTAAGTCTCTAGGACCGACGCTACTAGGAAGCTCCGCATGCTTGCCCGCCAATGCTCGACGACACATTGAAATTAGCCTCTTTTTATGCATGCAAGAGTACGCTCCCTTGATCCTACGTTAAGCTTACGGCTTTCAACAAGACTCTGACGACGTGATGCTACTCTTCTGTGCAGACTATAGCTGGGCGTCGCGTTTACCCGTGTGTGCGCGTACCGGCATAGGGATGGCCGACACGACCGCTTGCGTACACTGTGGAGATAAAGAGACGATTCCACACACCCTCTGCGACTGCCCGGAATATAAAATACAAAGTCAATATCTTTCTAGTACACTCAACAAGTTAGATGACCAGCCACTGCACACAGAAAGTATATTACGCCATCCACTAGACTCGTCATCACAGAAGAACGCCATGCAAGCGCAATTGGGCTTCTTGTGAACTACTGATGTGTGTGAAGGACTCTGAGTGGATTGATTTTGTGTGTGCGTTTGTGTCTGTGTTTTATTTTAAATGCAAAGCATTTCTTACCGAACTTTTCTCTCTCTCTTTATATATATATATATATATATATATATATATATATATATATATATATATATATATATATATATATATATATATATATATATATATATATATATATATATCCCCTTCCGTTTACGTGCTCTCGTGGTCATCCCCTTAACTTGGTGTGAAGCAAAATAAGCATGCGAGGGTAAAATAGTTTGACGAAGATGACGCTCTGCTCAAAACATCAATAATGTGACAATTCCGTCGCGTACGTCGTCAAACACGTCCTGTAAGACAGTCGCACATACCTATGGGCAGGTATGTGCTGCTGGTATGCGGGTAGGAGCCACAGGTGATAGACACTTAGTATCTACCCAGGAAGGACGACAACACACATGGGCAATTTTAGCGCGTGAGCGTTAAGCAATACCCGACATTGGTGGCGTCGACCCAAGAAAGGCATAAAATAAATATCAGTGTTAAGAAAAACCTGACAACGACATAGTTGTGCAAGTGCGAACAACTGGTTATATAAACATCTGCAACTCTTCAACATATGTCTGCGCGTGCAACACTTGTACATATTATTAGTGTCATTTCATGACGTGTCGCTCAATAAAAAAAAATGCATCATGGTCACCTTCGTTCAGCATGCTTCGCATTAACGTCGATTCCCAGGTACGTGGGATTTGCCGAATTTTCTTGTTCTTATTTATTTTTTATCTCTCTGTTTGTCCCTTTCAGCCCCCTATTCTCCAAACCCAGCGCAGGACAGCGTACCAGATCCTAGCATCTGGGTAATCTCCCTGCTTTTATTTTTTCTCCTCTCTTCTCTCTCTCTCAAACTTCAAATTTTCTGATTGCATTGAAAGGTTCTGCATTGATAGATAATGCCACATAACAGTATCCCTGAATGAAAATAGAATCTTGATTGTTCAGGGCTATTTGAGTTCAGAAAGTAACAACCACGAATGAGTGCCTTTTTCTTGTAGGAGAAATAGGAATGAAATAAAAAAGCTTTTTTTTTTCACGAACATATCGCATACATAGCTGAATATGCGTTGTCCTAACACTTGATAACAGCATATACTGTCAGCGCTGATAGCATATATTGGTTGCTGGTTTCAATTTTTAGGACGTACAGCGATACTCACGTCTGAAGCACATCTTTTCTGACCTCACGAGGTACACAAAGAGAGTGAGGAAGACTATCAGGAAGACGACGCCACCCACAGCAATAGCAATGACTAACGTCATTGCCAGTGGTTCTGAAAATGAAAGAGAGATTCATTGATTAGAAAATACTGCAACGAATACTATAGGGTTTATTTCAAAAAAAATGTGCGTATAAATATCAACGTAAAAATGAATTATTTGTTCATTGCATATGCAAACACAATGGTGTGATGCATAACCCAGCGCAATCGTGATATGGGTACATAGTCCTGCATGAATGTCAAGTTTTATGCCACACTGAAAGCACTTGCCATTGCATCAGCCAGGAAACTCACAGGTAAACGATATTTTGTTTAGTGTAAGCACTTCTTTTCTCGTGAAGCACTATCTACAACAAGCTTATGCTGAAGTTTATCATAAGGGGACGTTTTACATGAACCAATCATGATAATAAAACTAATGGTCATACGATGCATCTTCAACTACAATATGGTCTACCCGTATATGCGAACAACACAATATACGATATTCAATTCTTTCAACATTTCTATGTGCAATGTCAGTGAAGTATAGGCATATAACTGTTGAACACCAACTGCATGTTTGGTCTAGTTGATAGTTTCTTTAAGTTATTGATGTTGTTCTCCACCGCAAATCCACGCTATCATTGTGAGGAACCTCTAAAGTGGAGGGCTCCGGAAGTTTCGAGCACCTGAGGTTTTTCAAACGTGGACTTTCATTCAACTTGATGTAGACTAACCTAGCACTAAATTTAATGTGGAAGAGAACTTAATGCTTTCCTTAACTCTCTATTCGCAAGCGCTGTTACAGAAGTTATTTAGAAAGACATCAACCTTTACGGCCTTTTTTTTGAAAAGCTAAGCACATGGATAAGAGGCGCATGTTATGGCCTTGCGTACTTCATTTGAACTATTATCCTATGCTTTCCAAGGTCTCCGGAGTGTCAAAGCACGAGACATAGGTCCTATATTCATTACATTGAAAGCAAAAGCCTACGCACCCTTCACTTCTAGTGACACCGTGTACGACGCCTTGCCCTTCCCGTTGTCCACATACAGCGTGAACTTTCGGGAATCGTCGCTCTCGACCTTCTGAATGAGCAGGCGAGACTCATAACAATCCTTCAGCTCTTCGTCCTGTAACGCAAAGAAAGATGCACGCATAAGCAATGAATACAGCCAATGTGGCATCACCAGAGACAAACAAAGTCTGCACACAGCAACGACGTTTTGGTCAAATAGAGTTTCAGATTGTATAAGCGTACCTGTGTATGCCGAATGTCGATGGCGCACATAATAAATGATGTGGTGGCGGTATTTTCAGCTTTCTGTCAGCATCGCCAATAGCGAAAGTATACACGCTTGCTACACATTCACACCCCGTTTCTTCCGGGTAACACGAAAGATCGATGTTTGTGCGACGGTCTTTACAAAAACTTTGTTGGGAAATATTCAAATGCATTCTAATGACTTCGTAGAATGCAAGGGCAGCATGAAGACAGTTACAGCGCCACATTCCCACATTTATATGTCAAATAATAACAATTTCGAACATAACCCATTGGAAGAGCGATAAACAAAATAAATCCCGTAGGCGTTAGGCAACGTTCTCGGTGGAAAGTATGGCGTCTAAAGTGAACAAAATTCTCCTGCCACCTTGTTTCTGCGTCGTTCACACTCATTACCATCAGCATCATCCATACACTAAGGCGCACGTAGTGACGAGAGGAAAACAGTGTTGGTGAAAGCTTAGGGGAGGGAGATGGTGCAGTCAGTACATCAGAGAGGGGGTGAGCAGGCTAGGCTATACTGTTCCCATATTAACAAACAGCAGTTTTTCAAGCAGTAAGTCAGCAACTATGACCTACGGGATGCAAGGGTTTACTAGTAGTGCCGCTTTTTAGCCTTTGGAAAGGTTCTTTTTCGGCATTAGACACTTTTGAAGATGTCTCTACTCATGCAACATTACCCGCTCGACTGAAACCCTGATTAGCACACCAACGCTTCTATTGTTTATCATAATAAAAATTAAAAACCTGGGTTAAAAATTCCAACAGTGTACACTAGCTTTTATAACATCAATATTAGGAACAAGAATAATAATGACTGAATAGAAAAGCAATTCATCCTTGTTTTCGTATATTAGCACTGCCTGAGTTGGTGAATAAACATAGTGTCCGCCTTAAGCTAGCTTCTTATAAGCTCTTCGAAGCAGCTCATTTTGGCTCCAGAAGTCAGTGTTTTGATTTTCCCTCTTATCGTATAGATGACTATGAGGAATCTTGAAAAAGTGCATACAGCTACATAAGTTCAAGGCTTCTCAGCGCCATTTGTTATTGCGAAAAAATAAAAGCGCACGTTACGCCCAAAAATGCGCGTAACAAGAATACACATTCGCTTTTTTTTCTCACTTCCTCTCCAAGAAGTCAACAGAACAGATTTTAATCTCTTGCCTTCTACTCGGCCTGCTTTTTTCAAAAGACCAGTGCACCGATGAATTATTCATGTCCAGTGCAGAAACTGTATGGCTGACTTCGGCTTGCCATTCAGCAGAACGTGAACAAGCTGAGAGTTTCACGGAGCTCACCCTTAGCCTCGCCACTGGTTTAAAATATTCGGACGAAATAATAAAGCTATTCGCAAGCGCAGCAAATGTAAGCAGTCTAGCGGAAAATGAAGAAGGCCTGAGCTCACTTGAGCACGCATATACGCAATGGTCAGAAAAGTGATGCTCAACTGATAACAAAATTTATCAAGGTGTGCTATCAAACGGAAACAAATTCTTAATTCTTGAGGAAACTTCAATCAATATTGATTCTGTGCAGCACATTGTGATGACAAGACCACACGTTATTATTGATAGACATGTGGGGTTTAACGCCGCAAAACCACCAGATAATTATGAGAGACGCCATAGTGGAGGGGTCCCGAAATTTCAACCACCTGAGGTTCCTTAACGTACACCCAAATCTGAGCACACGGGCTTACAGCATTTCCGCCTCCATCGGAAATGCAGCTGCTGCAACCAAGATTCGATACCGCGACCTGCGCCTCGCCGCGGTGGTCTAGTGGCTGAGGTACTCGGCTGCTGACCCGCAAGTCGCGGGATCGAATCCCGGCTGCGGCGGCTACATTTACGATGGAGGCGGAAATGTTGTAGGCGCGTGTGCTCAGGTTTGGGTGCACGTTAAAGAACCCCAGGTGGTCGAAATTTCCTGAGCTCTTCACTACGGCGTCTCTTTTAATCATATGGTGGTTTTAGGACGTTAAACCCTACATATCAATCAATATCGCGACCTGCGGGTCAGCAGGCGAATACCTTAGCCACTAGACCACCGCGGCGGGGCCCACACGTTATTAGCATAAGGATAATCTAGGCACTCAGAATCTATGATTAAGTACAAGAAAGATGCGCACATGCTCGTGCGTTAAATGCACAAAAAGAATGAACACGCTGTCGCAAATTGCTAAGATGATTAAAATTATTGCAAATGAGCTGAAAAACTTGCTTCCGTTAGATAATACGTTTACCAATTTTAGGTTACGGTAAATCTGTGAAACTTTAGAAAAATATAGTTATTGGTAATCTTGGTCGCTCACTTAATTGTCTGGTAGCGGCAGTCACATGTCAGTGCTCATGTCCCTTGGTTCACTGCATAGGTTAACCCCGTGTTTCCCACGCTCCAAAGTGGATCTCACAGGACATGTAGAAAGAAGTGCGTGGTTGAGAACAGCTCCGCCACTTGCTGTATCGATTCCAGCTGCTCAAAATCTTTCGACTAACTTGGAGAATTCATTTTATTATTTATTTTGATAGGCAATTCACCCTTATCTTAAGTCATATTATTACCTCATGTCATTTGTATTCAGTAAACTCTCAACTTGAGCTGTAACCTTTGATTTATATTACACAGGGTCGTGACGTCGCCGAAGACAGAAAACTTTACGTTGGGATTCAACTGTTTATTTGGGCGAGCCTGTGCCCGGTAAATGGGAAGTCTGGTTACAGTAGCAGTCTTGCACAGATAGCAATGAACGGAGCGTCGGCCGTCGATCAACTACTGAGAAGCGGCGAAGTGCGTCGGCATTTAACTCTTGCCATCGAATGTTCTAGCGTTATCGCTGGCGGTGACGTAGGTTCCAGAATAATCTGTACAGTTCGCAGAGTGGGCGTGATCTTATCGCAATGATCTACTACAGTCCTGAAGCTTCTCGAAAACTGCAGGCGGGGTTTGCGCTGAGAATTGTGTAGTGTATTGGGTCGATAACAAAACTTGAGAAATGGAACATGGCATTGCCCCCCTCTGAAAAAGGCACCGTCCCGATGCTTTAACTAAAGATGAAGGTTCAACAATAATGCAAGAAAGTATAATAAATAAATTACGATACAGCAATAATACAAAAAACGCTGTTTCAATTTGTTAACGCGCATGAAACGGCTTGAGGCGCGCAGCATGGACGACTTCCGGTCGCGATCGGCGTCGTTGAGAGTTTGTGATGCCGTCGGGGACAACCTCGTAATCAAGTGGGCCGAGACGTCCAACCACCCTGTACGGTCCGAAGTACCGTCGCAGAAGCTTTTCACTTAGTCCACGTCGGCGTATCGGCGTCCACACCCAAACACGTTCACCGGGCTGGTATTCCACGAAGCGTCGTCAAAGATTGTAACGGCGGCTGTCGGTCGTCTGTTGATTCTCGATACGGAGACGCGCGAGTTGTCGGGCTTCTTCGGCGCGTTGAAGGTACTCACTCACATCGAGGTTTTCTTCGTCGGTGACGTTGGGTAACATGGCATCGAGTGTCGTTGCCGGGCTCCTTCCGTAGACCAATTTGTATGGAGATATCTGCGTCGTCTCCTGCACCGCCGTGTTGTATGCGAAGGTCACGTACGGAAGAATGGCGTCCCACGTCTTGTGTTCGACATCGACGTACATTGCCAGCATGTCGGCGATCTTGTTAAGCCGCTCGGTGAGGCCGTTGGTCTGTGGGTGGTACGCTGTCGTCCGGCGGTGGTTTGTCTGGCTGTATGCCAAGATCGCTTGAGTTAGGTCAGCAGTAAATGCCGTTCCTCTGTCGGTGATAAGCACCTCCGGGGCACCGTGACATAGGACGATATTTTCGACGAAGAACTTAGCTACCTCGGATGCACTGCCCTTGGGCAGGGCTTTTGTCTCGGCGTAGCGGGTGAGGTAGTCGGTAGCTACCACGATCCACTTGTTTCCGAAAACCGACGTCGAGAACGGCCCGAGTAGGTTCATACCAATCTGCTGGAATGGTCGGCGAGGTGGTTCGATTGGCTGCAGAAGTCCCGCTGGCGTTGTCGGCGGTGTCTTGTGTCGCTGACAGTCCCGGCATGTCCTCACATAACGAGTGACGTCGGCGGTAAGACGTGGCCAGTAGTACCTTTCCTGCATCCTCGCGAGCATGCGGGAAACACCGAGGTGCCCTGCCGTCGGATCGTCGTGCAGGGTCTGCAGAAGTTCAGGCTGCAGAGCTGAAGGCACCACAAGGAGGTACTTGGCTCGGAGCGGTGAAAAAATTTTCTTTTGGAGAAGACCGTTTCGCAGGAAGAACGACGCAAGTGCGCGCTTGAATACCTTCGGAACTTCAGCGGTCCTGCCTTCGAGGTATTCTATTAGGGCCTTAAGTTCCGGGTCGGCCCGCTGTCGTTCAGCGAAGTCGTCGGTAGTTATCGTTCCCAAGAAGTAGTCCTCATCTGGGTCGTCGGGTTGTGGTTGGTCGACAGGCGCACGAGAGAGACAGTCGGCGTCGGAGTGTTTCATGCCAAACTTGTAAACGACGGTAATGTCATATTCTTGAAGCTGCGTCGGCTTGTTCCGCTGCTTCCATGTTGCGACGTCAGGTCACCTTCGGTAGGTGGGGTTTTCCCGTCAGGGCTTTGCCTGGTTGGTGTTGTGTTCTGAAAGCTCCGTCGCGGCGTTGTCGTCGTCGTCGTCGGATCTTCGGTAGTTCGTTGCACAGCAACCGCACCTCCATCGGTTGCCGCCCTTAGTTTCCCTGATACGGGCTAGGAGACCAGCCCCGCATTGGGCCAGAGTACTGCCGGTGGCACGGTGACATGCGGCGGCTGGGTGACGGCGAACGGGAAGGACTTCGAGGTATCCACTGAGTTCCTGTCAGGTAGTCGGCGATGTCACGTGGCCGTTCCCCAGGCTGCGGACGTGGTGCATTGACGGCGAAGCCACGCAGTCCCATCTGTCGGTAATGGCAACGGCGGTATGTGTGTCCAGCCTCGCCGCAGTGGTAGCAGAGCGGGTGGTTGTCAGGTGCACGCCAAACGTCGGTTTTCTTCGGCGCACTGCACTGGCCGCTGGCTAACGGAAGGACGTCGGTGGGGGTGGTGGCGGCGGTGCCGTCTGGCGACTGAAGTGCGATGGGGTGCCGTTTTGTCATGGACGGGGAAGAGCGTTGTGGCGCACTGCAGTGGCGTAGCTCATAGATTCCGGCTCGGGCAGCGGTGCTTGGAGAAATCGAAGGGATTGACGAATTTCTCACACAATGTCGGCGATTGAATCCACTTGGGGCTGCGCCGAAGGCAACAGCTTGCGCAGCTCTTCCCGCACGATCGCTCGGATCGTTTCACGAAGGCCTTCGTAGTCAGTGGCTTGAGCAGCAGAGCATTCTGGAGCCAGGCGACGATTATATTGTCTGGTTCGCATGTCCAGGGTATTTTTGATAGTGGTCGCCTCGGATACGAATTCTTGGACGGTGTTCGGTGGATTTCTGATTAGTCCCGCGAAGGGCTCCTGTTTGACCCATCGCATGAGGAAACGAACTTCCTTCTCCTCAGGCATGTCTTGGTCAGCGTGACGCAATAGGCGGGTCATCTCTTCTGTGAAAATGATGACATTTTCATTTGGCAGCTGAACTCGGGACTCTAGTAAAGCAGCGGCCTTCTCTTTGCGAGCGACGCCCGCGAACGTTTGCAGGAATGCGCCGCAGAAGACATACCACGTTCGGAGCGTGGACTCCCGATTCTCGATCCAGGTCCTTGCGGTGTCTTCCAAATAGAAGTACACACGACGGAGCTTTTCGTCATTGTCCCAGTGGTTGAGGGCGGCCACACGGTCGCATGTTACTAGCCAGGTCTCCGGATCTTCGAAAGATGACCCATGGAAAATTGGTGGTTCCCTGGGTTGATGCATGACGATCGCGCCCTGGGACGCTGCGGTTGTCATTGTCGCTGCAATCGAGGTCATGGCCTTGGTCTTCCGCGCCTTGTCTTGTAGAAGCCCGTACTCCAGTGGTAGACCTTGCTGTCGGCACATTGTTCGCGGCTCCTGGTTGGCGTTGGTGTCTTCTCCGTGACGTGGGCTGGGTTCACAGCTTGACGGGGGCGTCCGGTACATGAACTACCCAAAACCTCCACCAGATGTGACGGGATCGTGACGTGGCCGAAGACAGGAAACTTTATGTTGGGATTCAACTGTTTATTTGGGCGAACCTGTGCCCGATAAACGGAAAGTTTGATTACAGTAGTAGTCCTGCACAGATAGCAGTTATACGGAGCGTCGGCCGTCTATAAACTACTGACAAGCGGCGAAGTGCGTCGGCATTCATACTCTTGCCATCGAAAGTTCGAGCGTTATCGCTGGCGGTGACTTAGGTTCCAGAATAATCTGTACAGTTCGCAGAGTGGGCGTGATCTTATCGAAATGATCTACTACAGTCCTGAAGCATCTCGAAAACTGCAGGCGCGGTTTGCGCAGATAATTGTGTAGTGTATTGGGGCGATAACAAAACTTGAGAAAAGGAACGTGGCAATAATTTTTAAAGGCTCTTCATGATTACCTGCAAAACCGGAAGCAAGTGTTTAACCGCATTGGCGCGAGAGAAAAAAAAAACAAATTCACACAATGCTCGTGCAAATAAAACCCTGTTTCTGTACCGTGAAGCAAGCGCAAGTTTAATGAATCGCGCAAACGTATACAGCGAGATACGGCAGCAAATTGCGACGACGTTGTGAAAGAAAGCAGCGTCTCACCGACAGCAGGGGCTCTGCGACGAAGCGTCCGAGGGCACTGCCCGTCTTGAGCTTGTAGGAGCCCCAGCCCCAGAAGGTGTCCACAGGTTTGGGGTCGGCGCAGAACACGACCGTGATCGCCGCATCCTCTTCTTTGCTGGCGGCCACCACAGGGCGTGTCTTCATGCTTTCCACCATTATCTGTGGAGGACCTGCGAAGGTGGGGACGAAGAACGCAAGACGACGCGTATGGAATACAACGTGAAAAAAGAAAGACACGCTCTATTCTTAGTGTTTACTGTCTCATATTTAATTACCAATTACCACTGCCAGCTGATAACGTACTAGATGGCACGCATATGACTTCCGCTTCTACAATCGACGACGCTCAATGTACACGCTATCTGCATGTTTTCATCCCTCCGTTTTCTCGTTTTCAATTTATTGCGCTTCATTATCAGTAATTCGCTAACCATTAGTAACAAAAGAGAGCATAGCGTTCAGCTGTGACATTGCCGACATGAAATTGTTGTCCTATCTAGCCCTGTTTCAGAAAGAGGTGGTTGACTACGCTGACGCTTCAGTTTATTGCATGTGCAAGCAAAATTGTTCCCTTGGTATCAGGTTTTTCGTCTTTGTGCAGCCCGTGCGAAACGCCACAGAAAGTGTTGTCGCGGGTTTTAGGTGTCAATCGCATCGAGCTTATTTAATTATCAGTAAAACACAATTACTCGTCCTTATTTGTACTGTAGCATTATTTATACCATTGTAGATAGCCACCAATGCTAGAAAATGGCAAAACATGACTAGTCTGACAGTCTTCATTCAGCTCAGCACCATGCTGCTTTGCGGTCGCTTAATTTAAAGATTGTTATCTAAAAAAGCTGTGACTTTCTATTGCCTACCTAGTTATATTGAGCTATGTTATTCTTCTCCGTGAAGTACCACATCACTTCTAGTACCGCAGACATATTCATACGCAATATTCAAGTGGACGCCTTCTTGACAGTCGGCAGCTGCAAGAAACCTGAGTCTCAGTGACAGCAGTGGTGCGTATCACGCATGCTTTCCCAATAAAGTCGGTAGGCACCATGCTGCACGGAATTACACGACAAAAAAAAAAACTTGCGATAAGCAGCTACCTCTAGGGGAGCCGCGCACAGAACGACGAAAATAGAATGCCCGCAGAGCGCGCCTCGTTTGGTGCAGCTGATGCGCGGGGAAGCGAATGGCATCGGAGCGTGAGTCGTCGCCTACTGCACCCAGCCGCACGTTCTATATGCAAAGTATATGCTACAAGGCCAGCAGACGCTCCTGCAAAGTGCTCGTTTCTCGTTCCGTGTTTTCCGAAACGAGAAACGAAAACACGGCAGAAATGTTCCGATAGGCAATGACCCTTAGTGTGATCGATGAAACCGCGCGGGAGGCTTCCAGACAGCAGTTGCAGAATCGTAGTAGGTCATCCAATGGCACCGTCTCCATTCGCTATGTAATTCGCGAGGCAATTTTCTTTCCCTGTTCCATCAATTGTGATTTTGATTCGTCTGCATTCGATCCACTTCGGCCGTGGATAACACATACACGCACCTGTGTACTTTTTTAGGCAAGCCTGAAGGACACAATAAATGTGCCTCTAACGACTAAAACGTGGTGAATATCAGTGCCTGTTATGCTTGCCTCAAACTAAAGTACAGCACTCAAGTTTAGCACTCAAACTAAAGTGCAACACCCAAATTAAAGTACACTTTTACTGAACTAACGTTAAATTATTTTCTCTGCAGTATTCACTGCTATCGCCTTTAACCTCCGTCAAGCACTACCACCAACCTACTGACTGACTGCGAGTCTCCCCACCATTATTAATGATTGATTTAATTGATTGATATGTGGGGTTTAACGTCCCAAAACCACCATTTGATTATGAGAGACGCCGTAGTGGAGGGCTCAGGAAATTTCGACCACCTGGGGTTCTTAACGTGCACCCAAATCTGAGCACATGGGCCTACAACATTTCCGCCTCCATCGGAAATGCAGCCGCCGCAGCCGGGATTCGAACCCGCGAACTGCGGGGCAGCAGCCGAGTACCTTAGCCACTAGACCACCGCGGCGGGGCACCATTATTAATGAGAACATATTCTTTGCACCATTACACCTTTTTTTTTTCAATAAACAGCTATCCACAAGGGTAATCTGGGTGCGACGACCACACTTCAGCAATATACACATGAGCAGAACCACTGTATATCTACAATTCAGCGCCTATGTTAAAGACAAGAACACCTAAAAGCGTGGGCAATTTAAATATGTATGCGAGAACACACGGTATATTCTCGCGTATAAGCCATCCCTGTATGGGGCGCATTCACAGCTACAACCCGCAAAGGGTAGAAAAAAGTCACAGTTTCGCCAAAATGGCAAAGCAATGAATGTGATAGCACCATATTCGAACGTTTTATGAGGCTAGGCTAGCAGTTTTAGGAGCAATAATAATTGTAGTAAACATGCGCTTGCTAAGTAACTAAGTTTCCTGCGGCGTGGTCACAGTAGATGACCACAACAAGGCTCGGGCGTAGTGAAGGCGTTGATGAGGAGCACCCCCCGCGGACAGCACATGCTGGTACTAAGGGCTATACGTCGTGTGTCACCGCTGGTGGCAGTTTGTTATGTGTAGAGCGCATCTATTGTGAACGGCCGCTCCAGGTACATTTTTGCCACCGTTATTTCGTGTTGAGAGCGCAGTCCGTAAAAGCTCCCGCCTGCTGTGGGCGTAAAGCCACGAGATAATCGTTACTGCGATAGCGCGGCAACCATAATTGTCCCTCCCTCCCCCTGTTCGCTCACAAGATAAGAGCCCCGCAGACTACCCCGGCCGGAAAGGCGATGTTAACTCCGCAGGAACGGGAGGCTAGCCCCCCCCCCTAAATATATATATATATATATATATATAATATATATATATATATTATATATATATATATATATATATATATATAATATATATATATATATATATATATATATATGGCAAAAAGTGGACGCTTTCTTGACAGTCGGCAGCTGCAAGAAACCTGAGTCTCAGTGACAGCAGTGGTGCATATCACGCATGCTTTCACACTAAAGTCGGTAGGCACCATGCTGCACGGAATTACACGACAAAAAAAATAATACTTGCGATAAGCAACTACCTCTAGGGGAGCCGCGCACAGAACGACGAAAATAGAATGCCCGCCGAGCGCGCCTCGTTTGGTGCAGCTGATGCGCGGGGAAGCGAATGGCATCGGAGCGTGCGTCGTCGCCTACTACACCAGGCCGCACGGTCTATATGCAAAGTATATGCTACAAGGCCAGCAGACGCTCCTGCAAAGTGCTCGTTTCTCGTTCCGTGTTTTCCGAAACGAGAAACGAAAACACGGCAGAAATGTTCCGATAGGCAATGACCCTTAGTGTGATCGATGAAACCGCGCGGGAGGCTTCCAGACAGCAGTTGCGGAATCGTAGTAGGTCATCCCATGGCACCGTCTCCATTCGCTATGTAATTCGCGAGGCAATTTTCTTTCCCTGTTCCATCAATTGTGATTTTGATTCGTCTGCATTCGATCCACTTCGGCCGTGGATAACACATACACGCACCTGTGTACTTTTTTAGGCAAGCCTGAATGACACAATAAATGTGCGTCTAACGACTAAAACGTGGTGAATATCAGTGCCTGTTATGCTTGCCTCAAACTAAAGTACAGCACTCAAAGTTTAGCACTCAAACTAAAGTGCAACACCCAAATTAAAGTACACTTTTACTGAACTAACGTTAAATTATTTTCTCTGCAGTATTCACTGCTATCGCCTTTAACCTCCGTCAAGCACTACCACCAACCTACTGACTGACTGCGAGTCTCCCCACCATTATTAATGATTGATTTAATTGATTGATATGTGGGGTTTAACGTCCCAAAACCACCATTTGATTATGAGAGACGCCGTAGTGGAGGGCTCAGGAAATTTCGACCACCTGGGGTTCTTTAACGTGCACCCAAATCTGAGCACATGGGCCTACAACATTTCCGCCTCCATCGGAAATGCAGCCGCCGCAGCCGGGATTCGAACCCGCGAACTGCGGGGCAGCAGCCGAGTACCTTAGCCACTAGACCACCGCGGCGGGGCACCATTATTAATGAGAACATATTCTTTGCACCATTACACCTTTTTTTTTTCAATAAACAGCTATCCACAAGGGTAATCTGGGTGCGACGACCACACTTCAGCAATATACACATGAGCAGAACCACTGTATATCTACAATTCAGCGCATCTATTGTGAACGGCCGCTCCAGGTACATTTTTGCCACCGTTATTTCGTGTTGAGAGCGCAGTCCGTAAAAGCTCCCGCCTGCTGTGGGCGTAAAGCCACGAGATAATCGTTACTGCGATAGCGCGGCAACCATAATTGTCCCTCCCTCCCCCTGTTCGCTCACAAGATAAGAGCCCCGCAGACTACCCCGGCCGGAAAGGCGATGTTAACTCCGCAGGAACGGGAGGCTAGCCCCCCCCCCTAAATATATATATATATATATATATATATATATATATATATATATATATATATATATATATAATATATATATATATATATATATATATATATATATATATATATGGCAAAAACTGGCCCAGACTTTCCATTCGCTCTAGTGTTATCAAGCTTGTAGCAAGTTTGGAGCTGGTTATCCTTCTTTGTTTATCTTCCGTTTTTTTTCTTTCCTTGCTCTTCTGTTCTTGCTTACTCTCTTTCCAGTTATTTTTCTTGTTTTTGTAAGCTCATATCAATATCTATTTTGTTCTATTTGCTCTTTTAGGTCTCTATTTCTTGCTTGTTTTTTTTCTTCCAATTTTTACACGTATAGTGTGTATCGTCATGTCTCCCAATCCATAGTAGCAATGTCCACTCGTAATAAAGTTAAACCTACTTATAACGAACGTACATACAACGAATTCCTCGATATAACGAAGTTTTTCTATTCCCCGTCGCTGCTCCACAAAAGCACGTGTTTTTGCGACCTCTATGTAACAAAGTAACAGTGGCAGACAGCCTTGATATAACAAGTTTTTCCCACGAACAATTTAGAAATTTTACTCCGCATTTTGGCAGGAACATGCATGGCTCGCGACTTCCCCGCCGCTGACGAAGCGCGAAGCGGCGGCGGCGGCGCGCACGGCG